GTTTTTAGGTGTGTTTAATCTCATTCTAAATTAATAATGTAATTAATATGTTTTTTGCCCATTCCTACAGATCGTTCAACAAGTGAGAGGGAGTTGGAAGTTCAGTTTGGTCGTACTGAAACAACCATTGTCTACATGGGTGTGGTCTTTGGTGAACTACATCCTTGATTGGCCGTTTTCGTCTTCGCTTTGCATCATTATGCAGTTAGTTTTGAACTGTTGAGTGAGAGCAACAGAATATTTATTTGATTTCCACTGAAATAAGGAATTTTCTGCATTGGCATTATTCCTGGATTTGGTTTGCTTTTCCCACCTGCAAACTTTGAAACATTACAGTCTACAGTGAATTAAGGTCAGAATACAATCAATATTCATTGCACTTTATTAAACTGTTGTGACGTTTCCTTTAATAATTATCTACTCTACAATATACATTGACTTTATCGTGCGTCTATATTTACATTAGTTTAACCATGTACTATTTAGGTTATTTACCAAGGATGCTAAAATACTGTTTCATTTTATAGGAACGTTGGAAGAATTCCAAATTCTGTTAAATTGTGGAGTATTTATTGTCTCAGTCGTCAATCGCTCAAGAAAGTAGCGTTTCCTATGGTCCTAAAAAGAGCATAAAAACGTCATTTATCCAGTGTGCTGTTGTTGAAGAAAGGATTTATGACAATGAACTGGTATGTAACACTATCAATTAAAAATAAAATAGTAAATGAGGTCCTAGGAATTTCAATTTCTTAGACATTTGTAACTTGCTTCAATAGACAACTTTTAAACAAGATTTCAGCAGAATGAATGTGTAACTGATGTTTCATTAGTGTGATTGTCACTGATTTACTTGCTTTAAAAGTGGTAATTGATTAGTTTTTCTTGCCCGTTTCTATAGATTGTCGTAACAGATAAGAAGGAATTGGTGCTACTGAAACAACCGATGCTTTTGATGTTTTCACCTTGCAACATTATGCAGTTAGTTTTGGCCCTGAAAATGGCAGGCAAGTGAAAATTAATTCGGAAGTCACTGAAACAACAAGTTTTCTGCAGTGGTATCCCTCCTAGATTTGATTTGCTCATCATACTGGCAGACTTTGGAACGCTACATTCTACAATTGGTTAAGGTAAGAAAATATGACGTAATTAATATGAATTGCTCTTTATTAATCTATAGTGGCATTTCTATTAAACTGTTATCTATTAGCCAGAGTATAGATTGATGTTTTGACGTATGTATAGTATTTTAAATATCCATAGTCCACAGCATCTATGGTATGTCGTTTAACATTATCTATTGTCTATATCATAAATTAACATGTGCATCTATGATTATTTCTAATTTATATGTCAAATTTGGTCTGTCATGTAACTAACTCTTGTCGCCATTTTATAATTCAGCTGTTTTACTTGTATTTTGGTGCGTGTTATTAGGTGTGTTTAATCTCATTCTAAATTAATAGTGTAATTAATATGTTTTTTGCCCATTCCTACAGATCGTTCAACAAGTGAGAGGGAGTTGGAAGTTCAGTTTGGTCGTACTGAAACAACCATTGTCTACATGGGTGTGGTCTTTGGTGAACTACATCCTTGATTTGCTGTTTTCGTCTTCGCTTTGCATCATTATGCTGTTAGTTTTGAACTGATGAGTGAGAGCAACTGAATATTTATTTGATTTCCACTGAAATAAGGAATTTTCTGCATTGGCATTATTCCTAGATTTGGTTTGCCTTTCACACCTGCAAACTTTGGAACATTACAATCTACAGTGAATTAAGGTGAGAATACAATCAATACTAATTCTCTTTATTGAACTATTGTGACATTTCTTTTAATAATTATCTACTCTCCATAGTATACATTGACTTTATCGTGCATCTATATTTACATTATTTTAACCATGTATTATGCAGGTTATTTACTAAGGATGCTAAAATACTGTTTCATTTTATAGGAACATTGGAAGAATTCCAGATTCTGTTAAATTGTGGAGTATTTGTTGTCTCAGTCGTCAATCCCTCTATAAAGTAGCTGCGCCTGTGGTCCTAAAAAAAAGCATCAAAACGCCATTTTTCCATTGGGAACAGAGACAGTGTGCTGTTGTTGTAGAAAGGATTTATGACAATGAACTGGTATGTAACAGTATAAATTAAAAATAAAATAGTAAATGAGGTCCCAGGAACTTCAATTGCTTAGACATTTATAACTTGCCTCAATAGACAACTTTTAAACAAGATTTCAGCAGAATGAATGTGTAACTGATGTTTCATTAGTGTGATTGTTACTGATTTACTTGCTTTAAAAGTGGTAATTGATTAGTTTTTCTTGCCCGTTTCTATAGATTGTCGTAACAGATAAGAAGGAATTGGTGCTACTGAAACAACCGATGCTTTTGATGTTTTCACCTTGCAACAATATGCAGTTAGTTTTCGCCCTGAGAATGGGAGGCAAATGGAAATTAATTTGGAATCCACTGAAACAACAAATTGTCTGCAGTGATATACCCTAGATTTGCTTTGCTCATCATACTGGCAGACTTTGGAACGCTACATTCTACAATTGGTTAAGGTAAGAAAATATGACGTAATTAATATAAATTGCTCTTTATTAATCTATAGTGGCATTTCTATTAAACTGTTATCTATTAGCCAGAGTATAGATTGATGTATTGACGTATGTATAGTATTTTAAATATCCATAGTCCACAGCATCTATGGTATGTCGTTTAACATTATCTATTGTCTATATCATAAATTAACATGTGCATCTATGATTATTTCTAATTTATATGTCAAATTTGGTCTGTCATGTAACTAACTCTTGTCGCCATTTTATAATTCAGCTGTTTTACTTGTATTTTGGTGCGTGTTATTAGGTGTGTTTAATCTCATTCTAAATTAATAGTGTAATTAATATGTTTTTTGCCCATTCCTACAGATCGTTCAACAAGTGAGAGGGAGTTGGAAGTTCAGTTTGGTCGTACTGAAACAACCATTGTCTACATGGGTGTGGTCTTTGGTGAACTACATCCTTGATTTGCTGTTTTCGTCTTCGCTTTGCATCATTATGCAGTTAGTTTTGAACTGATGAGTTAGAACAACTGGATATTTATTGAATTCCACTGGAATAGGGAATTTTCTGCATTGGCATTATTCCTGGGCTTGGTTTGCTTTTCACACCTGCAAACTTTGGAACATTACAGTCTACA